CGGAAACAAATTCCATTCAAATCTTATAAAGGTCTTGTTTAAAGACTTTCCTCTTTCTAAAAAAATTTCAGTTTAAAGATACTTTATAACCTCAATTAAAAAACACCATATTAACAAAAAAACATTACTTACAAATTTCTACCAGTTCTAAAGTCATGAAAATTTTTACTGTGATTCTTGTTCTTACTATCATATCTTTTGGAGTTATAACTCCTATTAATGCTGGAGATGTAATCCGATACAATATGACTCTCGGTTTCAGTAATCAATTAACTGGTACTTATGAGACTGGATATTGTTTCTGTACAGATAGTGCAGGCGGATGCTGTCCAGATGGGACACTGGATTCAAATGTTCCAAGAAGAAGAGTAATGACAATATAGCAATAATAGTAATAGTTGTTATAGCATTATTAGGAATCCTCCTCAACTACCAGGGAAAATCAGCGCCCTCGGATGGCTTGATAATTCCTTCATGTATTTGAATATTTATTAATTTTGACCCCCGTTAAATTAAACCCTTAGTATTAGGTTTTTTATAATTATTATATATATTAATATATATATTAATATAGGAATTTGATGTGTAACCCTTTAATGATTAAATTAGCCAATCACCACATTGTTTTGTTTTCATTATACTTTTTTTTTTTCATAAACATAGAATCAACTAGAAAAGATCCTTTTGAGCAAACTTATAATTATTATTCACAACTAATCAAAATCATTATTCAAACAATAGAATCATTTATTTTTTTAAACGGTTGGATAAATTCAAACAATAGAATCACATATTTTTTTAAATGGTTGAATAAATTTTTTATTATGGAACGCGAACCACGCCTTTCTTCGACAAGATATTTTGAGCATCTTTGTGATCCAGCTGTGAAATATGTCCATGATTACTTCAAGAATCGGAAAGCATCTACCTGGTGTATCCAAAGTTATATTGAGTATATATGTGAAACCGGGATGGAACTTGACTTCGTTCAATATTTCAATCTTTTTACTGATAGCTTGGCTCAACTAAATCAACTCGTGACTACGCCTAATCCCATCAGAGCTTTCTGTAGTAGTTACCTTACGTGGCTGAAGGTGCGGTATTGTTGCAATCTTGATTAATACATAAAACCCAAAACTCATACAAAAAATCGAACAATTACAGTCTGATGCAGGAGTAGCAATGGCAGGAACTCTTTGAAACAAAAAAAACACATAAGCGATCGGTTATCATCAACAGCACTACTGAGGTGGGTTAGTATGCACATATGCACATTTGTTTCGAATGGAATACTCACATATTATCTATCACCTGCAGGATGTGATATGCCTTAACGCAATAACTGATATCTTCCAAGCCAGGGTTGGCAAATGTGTGGTCCATTGATGGTCCATTGGTGGTCCATTGGGTCCATTAGTGTAACACTTTAACCATAT